GTAGTTCTCCAAATTAGGGTCCCTGTGTAGGTCCCCAATATAGTACGCCACCCTTACAAAAAGGACCCGAAAAGGGACCCTAGTTTAGTAAACTGCCCGTATAATATTTGGAACAGAATGTAGACCAATTTTATGCATCATAAAACAATACTGTACAAGTAATTACTAAGTAATATACGTCATACGATAAGAGACTAACTTGAGTAGCATGTCTTCGGTAAAGGAGCAGCGAGCACATTTTGGCAAAATGAACCCGCAGAAGTCTCTCTGTCTGACAATTCGACAATGCCTGTACAGTGGTGTCACACGACACTATCATGTAGACCCCTGAACTCCCCCATCCCTTGCTCAGGACTGGAATAAGACTTCTAACCGGATGGTCCGCAAGGAAGGGGAGAGCTCTTCCCAGAGATCAAAATTGGGCAGGCCACGTGCGGTTGGCGTCAAGTCAGCAAGGCTGACGGCCGTTACCGACTGCAGCTTCCGCGCAGAAAATGGAAGGCACCTCAAGAGTCTCGAGAGAAAAGAGCCAAGAAAAAACATGAGTGCTAGGTGCTAATTAAAGATTTGTAGATCTGTAGTAAGCTAGTCACCACCTTCCTTCACAATCTTGCCAATGCAGAAGTCGATCTTTAGCCAGTCTGTTCCACGAATGATCTCCAGCGCGAGCAGGGAAGGGATTTGAATCAAGTACATGGCGAGGAAGGGCAGGGGATCATCCCCAGAAAGCAAGGCGTCGCCGCCCTTGAGCATCTGCAGCACGCTGAGCTTGAAGCAGTTCTTTGGTTTCCAAAACCCGGCCAAGAGAAACATCTGGTCCATGATCTCAGGAAACTTATGATGTAGGGTCTATGGCCTATGGTCTGCAGGAGTAGGGCGCGGGATTTGCAAGATATTCGGGATCAACCTCTCGACTCCCGGGCAGCGACACGACACACATATCCTGAAGCAGCAACCAGCTGCAGCCTGCTCCCCGTCCCAGTACTGTAATCCCCAAGCAAAATCCCGCAGCCCCACCCAGTAGCGAAATGTCTCGGGCTTGGATGTCACGATCTCCGCATCGCTCTCCGGAATGAAGTTGGCATCAGCGAAAGCAGCCGCGAGGTTCCTCTCAGGGTCTTCCACGGAGGCCAAGAGACGATGGTAAGAAGACACCTGGTTCTAGGTACACTGGGTTTCGTTAACCTCATCATCATCAGCATCATCATCATCTGCTGCTGCTGCTGCTGCTGCTGAATCGTCGTCGTCCTCGTCGCAGCCGCGTCGATCGGGACACGACATCTAGCAATCAAAGGATAACCCGCTCCTGTGGCCCTCCAGCGTGCACACCGCACTGTGGATGCGAGGATTGCACTCGATGGGCACCAGCTGTCCATGGGCAGTGTGCATCAAATCCAGCGTAAGCTGCCCCGTAAGGTTCATGCTCTTCCTGGGCGTTTCTTGAGAATTTCTTGGGCGCTTGAGAGGCTACATTTCTTGGTTCCTTCACAAGCGTACACAAGTGTACGAAGCTGAAAACCAAGACAATTCTCAGGAATGGCCCAGCTTCCCCAAGCCTTTGCACAGATCTCGGACCTCTTCGTACTGCTTCTGGAGCTGACGGTACACGAGGCACGAGGCTGCAGACTCAAAGAGCTCAAAGCCCGTAAGATGACCCTGATTGTAGAAGGCATAGCAGCCGTACTCCGGCTCTTGCAAGACCTTCCGTCCGATAATCAGCAAGTGTGAGCGACATGCAGGCAACAACGAAAGAAGCTAAGACTTGCGGGGAAATTCGGGGAAGAGTTGGGAAAGGTCCAAAGCTCCGGGGTCTTGGGCGCCTCTTGAATGACGTAGGGGACTTCCTTGGTTGCGTTCCTGGACGCGAGGTACTTCCACTGCCGCTCTTTGTCTTCAATAGGCAAGAAGAGAATCTCTGTGCGGGCTTTTGGGTCGTAGACGGCCGGCTTAACAATGAACTTCTTGCCATTGGGCTGAAGTGTCTCGAAGAACCTGAGAGCATCATCTAGGCAGGTCATTTGCGCGGTCTGGGGGCAAGGAAGTCCGGCATTCTCGAGCACCTGGTTGAAGGTGAACTTGTTGTCCAGCTCATCACTGGTTGGACCATCGAAGGCAAAGACGCGGACGTTCGAGGGCAGCTTCTGCTTCAAGTGTGCGTAAGCCGTGCTTTCCACAGGAGCAGTGCAAGGAATGATGAGGTCGATGCTCTGCTCCTTGACGATTCTCTGGATGGTGGCCTCCCATTCTTTTGGATGGTTTGTCGGTCGTGGCAGCACGTAATGCTTGGACACATAAGTGCAGAAGCGTGTATGGCAAAGCTGGTACGGGGAGATCTCAGCCGTGAAGACTGTGTGGCCTTCACGACCTACAGCTCGCGCCACTGCCGAGGCCTTTGACATCTTGCCTCCTGTAACCAAAATTCGCAGTGGCTTCTTCGCAGAACCCCCCTTCTCAAAGGTTCCACCCCACAGCTTGTGCCGTATCCAGGAGATGATGGCCAGAAGCGTGAGGAACGGCGCGAAGGCCCAAAGGCACAGGATTGCCGTAAGGGACTTACCTCGAGCCCTCCACGTTCCTGGCCGACTTTCCGTGTCCAAGACCTTTGGGAGAACATGTTTCTGCTTCTTCTCCGGCAAGTTCTTGGCTCCAAGTAGCCTCAGCCCATTGTCGCCCGCCATCGTGCTTAGGGTAGGCCCTGGGTCGTTTCTTCTGTTCTCGCTGGACCGCCCTGCAAGACAGGCGCACAGAGGCAAATGCTGCGGTGCAGTCTCTCTTCAACCCGAACTCCGCAGTTGTCATCGCAAGCACTTAGGTCACGATCAAGCCACCTAAGCCTGCCATCGCACTTCCAGGTGCCGGGCACAAGCTCCGTTTTCTCGGCGGAGTGCCAGGCAGACGGCAGTGAGCCGTGGCCTTAGGTGAGGGTCTGGGGGTGGTCGGGGCACGGGTGAAGGCACTGAAGCTCTACCAAATACAACGATTTGAGGTGCTTCTGGTCTTCTGTTTAGGGTCAAGGGGTTTAGGGTCTAGGGGTTTAGGGGCTTAGGGGGTCTAGGGGTTCAGGGGTTTAGGGGGTTTGATGAAGCCTTTACTTAGGGATTAGGGTTTAGGGGTTTAGGGGTGTAGGGGTTTAGGGGTTTAGGGGTCTAGGGATCTAGGGGTTTAGGGGTTTAGGGTTTATAGGGGTTTAGTACTTGCACCCCCCCTCCCCTTAAAGATATTCTAGGCTTTAGGGTTTAGGGTATTTTTCGCATCTGGCTTGAGAAGGATTCCTTTCCAGGGCCTTAAACTTCTACGGTTTAGAGGGCTTCGGCTTTGCAAGCCTTCAGGTTTCTCCTCGTGTCGGCTGCTTGAGGCTACAGACGCTGAGAAGCTGATGACAGGTTGTCTTTGGTTTCAGCTCGCCGTGCTCCCAGCTCTTTGCAGGACTTACGAGGCAGCTCCTGCGTCGGTGAAGCTAGTTAGTAGAAGTTCCTCTGTCACTTCCAGATCCGTAAACTCTAAAACCAACGGAAACGTTGAAGTTTGTCTGAACCCTGAACCCTAAGCCCTAAGCTCTTAAAGCCTAAGCCCTAAGCTCTTAAACCCCAAGCCCTAAGCTCTTAAACCCTAAGCCCTAAACTAAACTCTGTCTTGTAGTTTAGTTTAAGTTTCAATTTCCCGAGCTTGGCCTCTGCAAGCCTTTGGGGTTTCCGATCTTGGGGCCCTCCGGCCTCCAACCCAAAGACCACAGCGAACTCACAAGAGCCCCTGAGAATCAGAAAGCCGGAACCCCAACCCCTCGCCTCAACCTCGCTTGAACCTAGAGGTTCCGAGACGACCTTCTTTTTCCAAAAACGACCTCAATCTGCAACCACGCACAAAGACCGAAATGTACCATGAAGGGAAAGGCGCCTAAATACAGGTGAAGAGCTACTCTCCACAGTACCTGTTGAACCTGGTCTCATTCTCACTGTTGCGATGCCCTCGTGGTTGTTCAGTGTACTCCGCGCAAGGCCAACACTCTAAGTCTAGACTCCAGGCAATTGGAAGTTTCAGGACATGGCGGACCTAGGACCCCTGCGAAAGACTCCTTTCTCTAATGCCAAGAACGCCTCCAACCCCATCCTTCTACAAAAACGACCCTACCATCAACCCTCAATGATTGGTAGGCCCCTGTACCCCAGAAACTGACCTTAAGAAGGTAGGATCCACCAAACCCCCAAGTTTATACGCACTCCAAGCACCCACAGCGTACTCATTAGGAGCTCGACTTACCGATGGTCCGTTGTAGGGATCCTTGCATGCAGCACGCATCTCGCCCGGATCGTCAGTCCTGCCCTAAACCCCTAAACCCCTAAACCCCTAAACCCCTAAACCCTAAACCTGTAAACCCTAAACCCCTAAACCCTAAACCCCAAACCCCTAAACCCCTCTAAACCCTCCTAAACCCCCCAAACGCCCTAAAACCCCGAGACGAAAAGCCTTGAGCTCCAGCTCTTGGCACATTTTCCGAAGCTCGCCGGAGGTCGCCTCCTCAGGGAGCCTCGAAGAGAACGAGGCTTTAGTAGAATGTAGAGGTTTTAATGAAAGTTTAGGGTTGAGGTTTGAGTACAACGTAGAGGCGGTTTAGGGGTTTAACGGTTCAGGGTTTAGGGTTTAGGGGCCTTAATAATTAGAATAGGGTTGGGGGGGTATATTGTACTGTAAAAATTCTAAGGAGCCCCCCATAATGGTATTGGTGTTAGTGGTATTTATTAAGGCCTGCAATTGTAGTATAGGAGCTTCGACTTGAACCACCACGACCTAAATGCAAGTCTACACAGAAGAATTAGTGTTAATTAGTCGGCAGCGAAGGATACTGAAAGAATGATATGTACACATAAGTCTGACTTCAACCTATTCTAACAAAACTGCTTCAAGTATGAGGGTGTTGGTACTGGGGATAGCTTTAAGTTCTATGGACAAAATGCGTCGACATGGGACTCTTACAAGTAGCTGAAAGGGGAGGCTTGGGTTTCAGAGGATCCTCGTGTCAGGACTCAGGGTTACGACACCCTACCTATAGTCTCCATTGTGCTTCCTTTTTTGGGGGTTACCTTTGAGGATCCTTGATCTAAAATGGGTTAAACCACAAAAGGAACTACAATGGAGACTATAGGTAAACCCTAAACCCCAACCAGCTGGTCGGCTTGAGGGGTACTTTGCACTGCACTCAGCAAGAACTCGGACCCTAAACCCCACACCCTAAACCCTAAGAGAGAATAAAGCAACTGAGCACTAGCCATAGTTTTGAGGCTCCTGAAGATCCTTGAAGATAGACGGACCGAGCTCGCATGTGGGTAGTTGTCTAAATTAGGGTCCCTCTTTAGGGGTCCTTTTTGATAAGGGTGCCGAGCTATATTGGGGACCCAAAAAGGGGATCCTAATTTAGAGAGCTACCCATGTTGCTGTTTTTTCCCTCTTCCTGCCTTGGGGGTTCCCTCCTCCACCCCAAACCCTGAGCCTAAACCCTAAACCCTTAAACCCTAGACCCGAACCCTAAACCCCAGTGACCCCGACCCTCCGACCCTTGCTTCGAAAGCTGATAGCCCCAGGCTTCCGCTCTAAGCCACAGCCTGAGTTGAACCCGGAAAGGGTTTAGGGTTTCGGACATCTCCAAGGACCACCACCCTTGTCAGTGCCCTTCATATCAGTAAGGGCAGAGACTCTGAACTTCGTTTAGGTGCGGGGGTTCCGAAGCTCTTTGACCGCCGAAAGAAACACCCAAAGGAACTTCACGATTAATGTAGGGGCCCTAGTAGTTAGAATAGGGTTTTGGGGGTCCATTCTGCTATTAATGCAATAAGGAAACCCCCAAAACAGTTTTGGTTTTTTATTTAAGCCCCTATATATTCATCCTAGACATTAAGCACCTTAAGGGTATCGAACACCCAAGAAGAGACCGCGGGGCTTCGTCACGCGAAATGCCAGCCCCGAAATTGGGGAGGCATCAAAGTCTTCGTCGTTTCCCTCCTCCTGCACATGTGCAGGTCAGGGCTTGGGGCTGCGGCACACAACCCTCGATCCTGAGGCGCAAGTAGGTGTCAGGATCTAGGGTTTCCCTAAGGTCCAAGTACTCAATACTTAAGGACCTTGAGGCCTTTATGGGTACCAAAAACCATAATAATAAATAACGACTGCTTGGACCCTTGAGGGTTTGGTGTCTGGAATACACATGGGAAAGTCGTTGTCGAGACCTGGTTACACCAGACACCAGACCACCACAACCAACTTCTTTTAGGTCCATGCCCGGGGCCCGAACCCATGAAAAACAGGGGCCACGCCAGATTGCGTGATGTCTAGTGAGGACCACCAAAACTCAAGCTTTCGCATCTCACCTCCTGCCCATTTGACGATGAAAGCTTCAGTGGATCCGGCTGAAATCCTTAATTAACCCCACAGCGCTTATACACGGCACCCGAAGCATTTTTGTGCAGCCTGCAGTGCAATCTCCGGGGCTGCAATGAAAGTCCCTGAAAACCTGTCTCCTTTCTCAAGCACTCTCATATAAAAAGCTAGCAATGACCATTTCCATTTTCTAACCATGCACCCCCCCCCTAGCACCCCAAACCATAACAACCTATACCTCAACCCTAACCTCACCAAAAGACCCATAGGAATACCCCTAGGATGGAACCACCATAAGACCCACACCAAGATCCACATAGAAAAATCCCACCCTAAACCCCAT